TCAGGCTCTGGCACTGATGATATGAATGCTGAACACAAGTAATCCTCTGGATTACTTGAAGCCATGGAAATTAGGCGCTGAGAAATAAGGTAAATGGAAATTGCTGTCCATCTTTAACGTTAATTTCTAATGGTCACAGTACTGGAAGCCACAAAAGTATGCCTTTTAATTAATGTTCATTTCATTAATGTTCATTTCATTTGCTGTGAATTGTAACTAGTAATATAGAGGAGGATCTCCAAACTTGAGAAGATTAAGAAAAAAGATAGTGGATACATTTTCTTCAAAATGTTAAAAATAGCAAAGCAGGAAAATAATCTGAGCAACAACAAAGGGACATATTTCCATTCCTTTCTTTAAAATATAACTAGTATGGGATTTGTGCTCTCCAGGCTTCACACAGTAACATCCTGGATATGGGTCCTACAGACCCAAATTGATTCTCATAATAAAGCATGATGTGGAGTCAACATGAAATCCAGTTAACTTACATTTTCCTTCATCCTTTTTCTTTGTAATTATCACAGCCTCAGCACAATGAAGTTCTATCACCATATTTGGAGCACTGTGTTTTAGAAGAGTGCTGTTGACAGTCAAAGTGTATCTAGTGAGCGCAGCATTTAGAGAGCAGCATGCTGCTAGCATCGTGCAGATTGCAAATTTCTTGTCCTAGTTTCTCACCCTGCAGCTGGTTCCATATGGGCAGCTTTAATGCACTTTCATAACGCGAATTGTAGCAAATGCAGAATTCTCATTTCTGTAACCACCATGCTGGGAGTCTCACAGACTACTTGCTGGTGTTAATGCTGCTGCATCCATCTGAATGTTCACAGCACCGTGCTGGAAAAGCCATTCTTCATCAACATGAAACCTGAGAGCCAGGGTTCAGTAGTGTTAGGTTTAAAGGATCTGGTGTCACCCCATAGGCTCCTAGAGTTTAACCTCACATCTTCTCAAATTCACCATCTGAAATCACACTTGTAAATTAAATCTCTTCAGCTGACTAGCTTGGATGGAGCACTGTTATAAATCCTCTGTCTTAAGTTGATCAGGTATAGATCCCTCAATGAAGTATGCAATGAATATTTGCTCGGGAAGCAGATATAGCCGGTTAACTTTATTCTGTCAATTTATCTACTTTATTTAAAAAGAAAAAATCAATGCAGCTTTTATATATTAAGTAAAAGCCCTTAATTTTGTAAAGCGTATTTTCTCATTTCATTTGCTGCATTATTTTGTCTGAGATTTTTTTAAAAATTACTCAAGCTTCTTTTATTAAGAATATACTGATGGTGGCTTTACAGTGTTTGTGATGTCCTGCAGCTAATTCAGGAGGGTAGCAGGCTGGTAACAATGAACTGTGTGTGGTGTAGCCACGTCTTCTGAATAATCATCAGATCTGTTGCTCCACCAAGTTTTGATATTTTCAAGGGCAGTCTAGAAGAGAAAATTATCAGCAGGGTGATGCTTCCTCATTTCCAGCTCCTAGTCCTGGTCTTCAGCTGTCCTCCATGGAAACAAATGAGTGGGCTTGCACCAAGGTGTGGAGGTTCCCTCCATGCAGCTTCCTATGGGGGAAAAGCCAAGGCAGCAGCTCAGTGGTTCTGTGGCAGTGGGTGCACAACTGGGGCGTCCCTTCTGCTCTGCTCCACAGTCCATCAGGTCAGTGTAACCCTGCCATCCTGGCTGGGTAAAAATGGCTGCAAAGGCTGAGCTGCTCTGAGTAGCTCTGATGTATTCTGCGGAGCCTCAGGTTCTGAGAGAAACAAGTGCTGTTTTGTTTGCTTCCAAAAGACATTATCTTGGTACGTATACAAAACGCAAAACAATCTGTGGCTGGATGTGGTCTGAGTGGAAACACACTACTGGTAAAGCCAAGTGATGTCTCAGCTCTCTAACCTTGTCTCTCACACCAGTAATATCATAATAGCTGGAGTTCAGGGGCTGTTAACAAAGCCCACTGATATTTTACACCACTGGAAGTGAGATACTTCTTCAGCAGTTAAACAGAAATTTCACAAACCTCTATCAATTGTAATGAAATAGTTCCATTTAACAATTTTCTTCTTTATCTGAGTGCATTTATTGTTACAGCTTTGTATTACTTTTGACACTGCAGCGATGTTTTCTCAGCAGCAAGCTGAACAAGGTGTTTTCTTCTTCTTACAAGGATGAGAATCCCCCTTCTCATGTTATAGCCTGGTCCATTTATATGTTGCTAACCACAGCATAGGAGAGGACAGCAGAGAGTAACAGGCAGAGAGTTATTGCACTTAGCTTCTGGCTATTAACTGATAGATGCCCTTGTTCTGACTCGATGAGTGATTACCAGATAGTTGGGCACCGGTCCGGGTGCTGTAGCCACACTTAATTGTGACTGATTCATTGGGCTGAAATATGTCACTAATTTAATTCAGCTATTTCATTAATCTGATTGAACTGCATCCAGCCATTAGAGGTGTATGAAAGAAAGGTATCTGACACACGAGGCAAGAACACTAACCTCTGCATTAAACTATAAAACAGCCATTAGGACATCTAATGCCCAGATTGAATTGCTCCATAGAAACTTGGTTTCCAAGCATAATACTAATTAGCTATAAGCTTGATGAATGTCAAGAATTAATTAAAACATTTCAGTGGCCTGTGTGGGTTTTAAATATCATCATTATTGCCCCCAATATTTTCAGTTCATACACTAATTGCTTTATAGAGAGCACGCATGGAATTATCTCTTGGAGTGACTGAGGGGACAAATGGTTCACTGTGTCATTGAACATGGCCACATGGCCCTCCTTGCCTCTGGATTTCCCTTTCTCCTAAAACATACGTACAGTTTTTCTTCCACTTCTGTGCATGTATTGCAAATAGAAAGGTAAGATCTGTGATTTTGGACCCAAATTTCATTTTGACAGCACTTTTAATCTTCCTTTCTTAGCTGTACTCTGGAGGCCAGCACAGTTGTTGTTACCTATTTTCATTTTGGCAACAGGAAAATAGCTGCAGTTCCATCAAATGACCTTTTTGTTTTAAATTAAACAGGATGTCAGCCAAAACCCTTGATTACTTTTGTCCTGTTAATAAAAGGCCTGCAACAGTTTAGACATTTAGGACATGAAGTAGACATAAGATAAAAAACATTTTGGGAAATTAATAATTGGAAGGCAATTGATAATTAGAATCAGCTTTTGGTTGTTTCTTGAACATGATCTTAATGTAAAAATAACCAAGTTTTTGATACAGGAATTGTAGATGCATAGTACAGACTGCTCGTATTCCTTCTCCCTGATGAATGTTTCCAAGTATTTGGCTGCCTAGTAAGGATGAGTGTCCAACATGCCATTTTATAGACTGCAGCCATATGTATGACAAATGTACGAGATGACAAGACATGGGAAGAGCCATATCACCAGGAAGGCTTGTAAGAAGGCTTCTGAGTGTTGAGCAGTGCCAGAAACTACAAACTGCCTACAGCTTATTGCCTTAGGCTTCACTTTATATGTCTGATGGTTTCTGTTCCATGGACCTCAGAGGGAGGGAGGAAGATGTCAGTAGTGCCTGGGAGACTGCTGAATGCGGAGAACTGACAGAATCTTTGCAGTGCCATGTTGTTGCCCTGTCTGTGGGAATGTGGTGGACTCACAGAGCCTCCATGAGCTCAGCGTTGTTCACAGCAGTCTGTTTAGATCTCAGCAGTTTGGACTCGAGGACTTTTTGTGGGACCTTGGTTTAGTTTCTACGCTGTGATTGGTTTCAGGAAACAACATTTTGCTTTCATTTAAGTATTTATTTTGTGAGGAGGTATAGATGATTGCTGTGTCATAATAGCATGAAGTATGGTGTTGAAGCACTGCTTATTATTCCTTCTTTTAAAAATTAATTAAATAGTTATGCGACAGCTCTTTCCCTAGTGAGAAATGTGTTCAGTATTGTACTTCTTAAAATAAACTATTATGGGCTAGTTGTCTAAATGCCAATTGCTTTGAGGCATAACATATGTAAATAATGAAGAAAACTATTTGATTTGACAGTGCTGTAAGAAATTCAGTTCCAGGTTACTTAATCCTATCCTTCTCATCCCCAGTTTTCCTATTCAAGGGTGCTAATTTCATTCTGTAGCATGTGAAAGATGTCTAGCAGCATATTTGTAGGTAACATTTTGTATGAAAGCATGAACAATTTAGTGCTCTCAGAAGAAGAGGGTGGTTGAGATACACAATTCCTTCTGTGCTGGGATATCATGTTATTGGAAAAACACAACGTAGAAGCTCAAAGTAACCATATACTTGAGAGAACAGATCTGGTGGTAGCTTCAGACTGTCGCAGAATCGTAGAATCACCACATTTGGAAAAGACCTCTAAGATTATCCAGTCCAACCATCCACCTATCACCAGTATTTCTCACTAAACCGTGACTTTCAGTACAACATTTGCACGTTTATTGAACACCTCCAGGCTCAGTGACTCCACCACTTCCCTGGGCAGCCCATTCCAACGCCTGGATACCCTCTTGGAGAAGGTTTTTCCTAATATCCAACCTGAACCTCTCTTGGCACAACCTAGTCCTATTGCTAGTTACATGGGAGAAGAGGCCGATCCCCACCTCACCACAGCCACCCTTCAGGTTCAAGATTACCCTTGAACCTCCTCTTCTCCAGACTAAACAATCCCAGTTCCCTCAGCTGCTCCTCATAAGGCCTGCTCTACAGACCCTTCATCAGCCTTGTCCAGCTATTCATGGGCACTCCATTGCACTGCTTTATCTCCAGAGGCATGAGAACCCTGGGACAGCAGAGAGCTCAGCTACTATGTTTGTTTAAAACACTGAAAGTAGCTGGGAATCAGAGAGATGTTGAAGATGTATCAGTGGTTAGTATTAAAACAAAATGAGTATAGAAGGAAATTCGTACAATACCTCTCGCAAATGTTTTTCTGACGCTCTTTTTTTCTCTCATCTCTCTGTCTCTCCTCTTCTTTTTCTTCTTTTTTTTTTTATGCAGTGCCGGCCCTAAAGGAGATAACATTTATGAATGGAGATCAACTATACTTGGACCTCCGGGTTCTGTATATGAGGGGGGCGTTTTTTTCCTGGATATCACATTTTCATCTGACTATCCATTCAAGCCACCAAAGGTAAGGGTAAGGTTTTTACTGTGCTCTTTGTTGTTTGTTTGCTTTTTAGCATACAAGAAAAATCTAACTTGCAGTGAGTGACTGCTCATCACCTTCTGACAGTCAGACTTGTTTATGGTCTTAAAAACTAAATGGTCCAAAATCTTGGCTTGCTATTCCAGAAAATCCTGTGTCTAATTTATTTTTTTATTATCACAATGCTGATTTCCTAGTTTTTACAAGCCATAAATGACATCATCCTTCTGATAAGGAGTTAATGTGAAGTACACTGATTTTAATTGAAGGCCACGTGAGACCTTCTTGTGCTTCCTTCATTTCATTCAAGCTACTAAAATATATATAAAATAAACTTCTCTGTATTATGAATCAAATTGTGTATTATATATTTTTACATTACTGTTAGCAAAAAAAAAAAACAACACCAAAAAGCCAGCAAAAGTAATATTAGACAGGCAGCTGAAGTATGGTATTGTGACTTGGAGTTGTGTAATTACTGTGATGACTTCCATTGTTGTAAAATGTCAAAATATATACTACTAGTTAGATCAGCAGATTGATTTGATAATATTTTTCTGCAAAAGTTATTTTTATAAAATGAAGCCAATATTAACTTCAATTAAAGTTTCATTTCCTTGCTTAGAAACAGTATGCATATTTAAGGAATCATTATTTCCTAATAGGTGTCAAAGACATTAGAGCTCATTCTGTTCTCGCTTAATGCCAAATTACAAAGCTTGAGCACGGCATCAGAAAGGACACTGTCAACATTCACAAATGGCAAATACAGTCTACCACAAAACATTTCTACAACTTGAGGCTCCTGTGGCCATCACATTGTTAATGTAAATGCATCATCTTTCTTTCCTTCCCAAAAGCATTACAGCAAATAGAACAATATACCCTCCATGTATTTCACACTCATCTGAAATTCTCAAAATTCTGTTCCATGAGTTAAGATTGTTATAATGAAATTATGCTGGGATTTGGTCAAATTTCTCATTACAGTCATTTGGATTATTTTAAAGAGCACAATCATTTTTAAACTGTCAGTAGTTTGAAGAACAGTCGTGGACTCCACCCCCAACCCCCCCCCCTCATCAGTGTGAGAAAGAAAATTTTCCTCATCTTGTGCTATGTGTAATTAAGGTGTTTAAATGTTTCTAACTAATCTCTGTAAAATAATACATATTTTATTAACAAAACTAGTCTGTAATATAGAAGAACAAGGATGGTGTCAGTTCAGGGTGTTTTGTTTTAGATGTTTGTTATATTCTACTGAAAGGTATTGAAAAGATTTCACTGCTACTTTGGACATGAATAATATAACATTCCAATTTAAAATATTAATTTTCATGGTCTATATTTGGATTTGGAAAGAAAGGAAAAGATCAACTAATGCTTCACGTGCAGCCAAGATGTATCTACTTTTTCAGCTTTGGTAGCTTCAATAAAGTTTTGTTTCTGATTAGACAATTCATGGCATGCAGTGTGTTCATGAATTAGCATACAGGACTACAGAGTAGACTCTCATTTTTGTGAGTGCCAGACAAAGGGCTTGTGTAATAGCAGTCCGTGCACCGAAGATCTCCTTGGTAGTTTCTTATAAGTAGCTGTGGCTACAATGAATATGCATTCTTAGGTTGCAGATTGTTGCTTTAGAAAGTGAGCAGAGAGGAGCTGCCTCCCAGAGACTCTGCAGAACAGAGAAGGGCCCTCAGGGACTAGGGGCAGTGCTACTTGGCAACACTGAATGACTTTTTCTGTCTCTTGTGCTGCAATTCTAGGTTACTTTCCGCACCAGAATTTATCACTGCAACATCAACAGTCAGGGAGTCATCTGTCTGGATATCCTGAAGGACAACTGGAGCCCTGCTTTGACTATTTCAAAGGTCCTGCTGTCTATTTGTTCTCTCTTGACAGACTGCAACCCGGGTAAGGAGCTGACAGTTCACTGGGCATCATCTCCTAGTCATTTTAATTACTTTCCATGGAATATAATTTGTATATTTGATTGTATTTACATCAAATCAAAGTTGAAATCAAATCAAGGCTGAAATGGTCCTGGTTGGATACTATGCTTTTCAGTCCTGTGGCCCAATAGAAAATAGCATTAAGCCCATTTATTTCAAAGGTGTGCTGGAGAAAATGGAGTTATGTCTCTGAAGGTCTGTATCCCAAAAGCTGTAGCAGATGAATGGTAGATCTAGCAGTGTGGCAAAGTTCTCTGAGTTACAAACTCCTAAATGATTCAGGTTGGAAGTGGCTGCATGAGGCCTCCTCCTCTTAGGACAGCAATTGAAATGTGCAGGTGACAACGTTTAGAGAGATTTTATCTTTTTCAAAGAGAGTTCCTTATTCCTGTTGGGAAGAGGGGAGCTTAACTAGAAGCAGCAAAATTCTCAGCAGCAACTGCATGGTGAGCGTTGTGTAATGAACACTAATTGCGTTCGGTCAGCAGAGAAACTAAGAGGTGGTGCCAAGATGACAGGTCATTCACAGGAGACCGGTAATGAGCAGGAAGAATTGGATTAGTCCCTTTGATACAGAATTCTGATGACTCTTGGATCCCTTGGTGTATCTCCTGCCATCCTCATGCCTAATGTACTCCAGCACTGTAACAGGAGGAAGCCAGCCTGCACTCATCTAGTGTAGCAGCCCCTCTAAAGGAATGCGAGGTGTCTGGCTGGGGAAAGCAGTGATGGTGCAATTCATTATGTCCTCCATAGGGACAGTGGTAAGGCATATTTCAGAGGATGTCCCTCACAGGTAAGTTTCCATCAGGCAGAGGGTGGCTGGTGGATGATGCATCCTGGAGTTAGTGCATGGAGCTTTTCAGCCCCAGCACGTAGGCTCTGCTTACGAGGATCTTGATCTCCTTGAAATTAAGAAGTTAAACTACTTTTTTTTTCCTGAGACTCACAAGGAAATTGTTGTACCAATAGGTTGTTTCACTACCTCCAGCTGGCAGCATACCTGTCTGTACAGATGTCTACCCTCCTTTAGAACATTAGGTCTTCTAAAGAGTAGAAGGTTTTCTAGGAAGGTTTTTATTTTCAAAACATCAATTGTTAAAAATATGAACAAATTGCACCTGACAAAATGGTATCTGGATTGCTGGTGCTCTTACAAAACTTCCCACCACGCCTTCTGTCAGGTTTTGGCTGAAAGGAGCAGCTGTAACTTTTGGACACAGGTGTCTGCCTGCCATTTAACACACTAATAACTAGGTAACCCAAACAGATTCATTATTTTTCTGTTTGTTGTGTGCTATATCTTGGAAGAGCCTCACTACATTTCATAGCATTTTCTGTCTTAACGAAGATTTTATTTTGAAATAGATTATGCATTTTTAATGACAATAGGGTTAGATTTTGTGGGTTTTTTTGTGCATGCATTTTTTTAGGGGAGTTGGTTTGTTGTTTCTCTTTCATTGTTTTTTGTTTTGTTTTGTTTTGTTTTGTTTTGTTTTGCTTATTGTGGAGTAATTTCTAATGCATCTTCTCCTGCCCTTTACAGCTGATCCTCTGGTTGGAAGCATAGCCACTCAGTATCTGACCAACAGAGCAGAACATGACAGGATAGCCAGACAGTGGACCAAGAGATATGCAACATAAATGACAAACTACTTGTGCAGTGTGAAGGTGCGGAAGGCAACTTTACAGTGTGCAACAAATCTTTATAGCCTTTACAATACGGACTTCTGTGTATATGTTATACTGATTCTACTCTGCTTTTATCCTTTTGAAGACTGGGATATTGCCTCCCAAAAAGGTAAATGCTATCAAGAGTAGAAATTTGTAGCTGTAGATTAGTTATGTTTAAAACGCCTACTTGCAAGTCTTGCTTCTTTGGGATATCAAAATGTATTTTGTGATGTACTAAGGATACTGTTCCTGAAGTCAACCAAATATTATAGTGCATTTTAGCCTAATTCATTATCTGTATGAAGTTATTAAAGGTAGCTGTAGATTACTAGGAATTATGTCATTTGTATTAAACCCAGATCTATTTCCAATATGTGGTACATGCTGTTGTGAAAACTGTTTTAACTTTTACCTTTGTCAGTTTGTAATGAAAGGATTTCCTTTTTCCCTTTGTAGCTCAGAGAGCACCCAGTGTATCATCTCAAACACAATAAACATGTTCCCCAAGGAGTAGTTTCTTTGTTTTCCTATTTTAAATTAATATTTGAAAAAATTTAATTATAGTAACAAGGCAGGGCTAATGTATCACAGATCCCTGTGGATAATCTTTAAATTAATATACATAAGCAAAGGCTTGCTATAAATGTTTAATGCACACCTGTGGATTGTTTAAGTTTTCCCTGGGTTTTTTGGTTTGGTTTTATTTTTACAGAACAAATGTCATTTCCATAATTTCCTTAACTGCTCAGCTCTTTTTCAAGTTGCAATGAGAGCACTGCATATGCTTCCTCCAAAAGCTAATGTAGCTGGTTGCTTCAGGGCCAGACCTGTTCTTGTAAGAGCTGGCCTGGTCTTGCTACAAACTCTTTTTTGCAGGACCAGAGCCCAGTTACAGATGGTCTGGTGCTTTTGTGTCAGAGTAAAGCAAGTCGGGCTTGCTAATCTGGAGAACCACAATTGTCCATTGAAAATGGTCTTCCAAAGCACGGTTAAACACTAGTCTGTCCACAAGAGAAAAGAGTAGAATAAACTTCATCAGATTTTTATGACAGAAAAAAAAAAAAAAAATGTTAGTGAAAATGCAAGATGTAAAACTTTTAGACTACTTTTCCCCTCCCCTCTTCATTTTCTGGCTTGGAAATTTTGTAACATCTGTAAGTAATGAAGATACAGCTTTATAGCACATACAGTAGAGTCACCAATAGTTTTATAATTTAGTTTTTGTAGGTTGCCAGTCACACTATCGATTATACAAAAAGACATTTGATCCCTTTAAATCATATTTAAAATTACACCTGATGTTAAAGTTTACTGTCCCCTTTACTACCTGGTGTTTTTGGAGATAATGTAGCACTTCCGTCAGTAGGATGCTCTGCTCACTTAATATATGAAAAATGAATGTTAAGTTTAAATACTAAAGCAATAGAAAAAATGTTAAAGATTAAAACTAAAGTTAGCCATCACTATATAGATCCCTGTTTTTTGTATCACAACCTTTGATCATGAATTGTCCACCCTACTTTAAATATTTCTACAGATTCCTGAAGGTGGCTTGAAGAACTGCGTATCCCAAATATCTCAACCTAGAAGCCAGTCTCTCTTGATAGCTACAAGATAGCTTTAGACTTCAGGTTATAAAGTGCAAAAGGGAATGAGAAACAGGGGATCTGGCAGGTGAATACGCCTAAGTTGGGTAACAGACTAATGCCAGGAAATGAAGTGCTGGAAATCACTGCTGATGGTGACCAGAGTTTCTCATTGTGTCATTGAACATGTGAGAAATAGCACAGATTGGCAAAGCAACAAGGGGCTATCGCATCCGGGCTGGACATCCATGGTCTGCTCACTGCTGTCCAGTAGTGCACTGCTGTGCTGCGCAGTGCTCGTACACCGCTCCGGTGACTTTCCAGTGAAGAGCAAACTATGTATTTCATGTGTTAATTATGTTGCCTACAGAATTTACAGATATTTATATCATGAAATAATATGGTATAAAAAAAAGACAGGTTTTAATTCTAATTTTAATGTATTTTGTTTTTGTATTGTACTGACAACTTAAGCTACTGAGGTGTACAAGTGTGATGCCTCATCAGTGTTGCCCCATCTTGCCTTCCTTGCAATTGGATCCTTTACACTGAATTCTCATCCTTTTTCTTTTCTTTCTTTTTTTTTTTTTTTTTTTTTTTTTTGTTGGTTTGTCATGATTCTGTTCTTTTTTAATGTAGTTTTTTTTTTTGTGCGTGTGTAAATTTTATATTTACTGAAGTAAAGGTTGTTTTTGTGTAAACATTTAAACTTTAAAAAAGAAAAAAGAAAAGCTAATTTTGTTTCTCAAGTTCTCTCTGCTAAAACATGCAGTAGAAAGAAATTTGTATTGTTAAATAAATCAATTAGTTGTTAAAAGCGAATGTGTGTCTGTTTTCACGGGGAGGGGAGAAAGCCCTGCTGGAATTGTATCTGAAATCCCAGTTGTAGAGAGCATCTGATGTTTGCAGAGTGTTTCCTGGTCATGTCAGGGTGAAGTTTGGGCATGACTGAATCAGCACTGATCCTGTTATACGGTTTTATTTTTCAGTTCCATTTTTTCATCACCTGTCACATAGCTTACACGGCTACGTGTCTGGGAGAAGGTGAATTCAGATGACACAGTGAAAAGGCCAGCTAATGGCCGCGGGTCACCTCTTCCTCTCCATTCTGCGTGGTCTCTGCTCTCTTATCCTTGAGGTTGGAGTCAGGAGTGCAGGAGGTGTCTGTCCCAGGGGACCTATGGGAAGCAGCTGCTCCAGCCGGGGGGCTGGGAGTCTGCGGGGAGCAGAGCACCTTGGCACTTCACATGTGTAGGAATGGGTGAATTTTATTCACATGAGATAATATATTAAATACAATGGAAAGGCAAATCTGCATCAGCCTAACCTACATGAGTGCCCTGAACTTGCATGGCTTTAGAAGACTGACACCAGCGTGCCTAGATGTGACTAAGCCATTAAGTAGCACTGCACATGCAGCCCATGCTATAGCCCAACAAACACTTAGCTCAGCACTGCTTTGCCTGCATTATCCCTTGAACCTTGGCACGGTGGCAGTGCTTCCATTTAATAAGGCTCTGTAGCTCCTGAGGCAGACCAGCAGTTCCCCTGCCCTCTACCACCCAAGCTGAAGCCACCTCCAGCCTGGTGGCCAGGAGAGGCTGCAGCATCACACAAGTGTGTTGAGGGGAGAAGACATCACATAGGAACCCAACTGCTGGTACTACAGCCTGACCTTGCTGAAATGAGCATAATTAGACACATTCATCTGTAGATCAGGTGGAAAAACAGATAATGCACTAACAGGTAGTTGCCGGAGGACTTGCAGCACTAAGAGGCTTTTGCTTTTCTGTCCTAAATGAGCTCATCATCCTCAGCTTCTCCATGTGTATCTCTGTGGAGTGCTGCTATGACCAGCTCTTTCATTGGGTAAAGAGAAAGCATCCAAAACTGCAGCAGGAATCTAGGGGTTCCTTAAAAATAAAACCTGATCCAATTTATGATTTTATGTATCATCATTGTTACCAACCTTTAATAAGCTCTTTCTCCAGGCTGGAGACTCCTCTTTAATTAGCCTCTCCCTGTGCCAAAGGTTTTCTTCCCATCCCAGTCACTCTTATCTGAGCAGTTCACAATTCTGCAGCAGCCAACTCAAGGCAACGATAGCCATACATTGTACACAGAAGGTGAATTCACAGTTCACCTAGAATCATGTTGCTGGCTTGCTCTGCTTGCTGAATAATCTGTAATACTGCATGCCTTTTTGACCATTGCTTATTGCTTGGATAAAGTTTTTAAACCACATCCAGAAATGCTGGAAGCTCTTTTCTAAGCAATAGGTAATGCATCCATCAGCATATGCCTGACAAAAGCGCCTTTTCCAATATTCTCTAGTTGGTATCATCACTGGATTCACCTGAGATCTGAGCTCCCAGTTCTCTGCATCACAGAATCTTTTACAATGCTTTGCAGTCAGCTTCACTTGAGCCTGCCCTGAGTGCTGCTGCTCCGCACACAGTGCTCGAGCTGGGGCTGGAGGTGGGCAGAGGGTAAGAGCCGATGCAGAAGCACCGCACTGGACAGGTCTGTCTGCCAAGGAGTGATGGGTCCCCGCGGATAAATTATCATCTTGCTTCTGAATGGCACAAATGAAAGCAGCTGCCAACCGTTTTCATCAGGCTGGGCTTTGTCTCCCTCTACAGAACAAATGTCAGGTCATTACTTAAAGAGGAGCTCGGGGCGGGTAAATTTTCCAGAGTGCTGAATGAGCTGTCATGCCAGAGATTAGTTTTCTGGGCTATCATCTTGGTAGACAGGGGTGAATCTCGAGTCCTGTGGGAGACCCTCCTTCCGAATGCAGCAATTGAATGTGTCTCCAGGTGGGCTTGGGTTTATTCAAGCATACAAGCAGTAGGGGAGGGGGTGGGATACAGGGGCAGTGGGTGGAAGCGGGATGGAGCTGCTGAAGTACAGCAGTGTGGGGTGCCAGGGAAGGCAATACCATTGTCAGTTTCTGAACGGGAATACACACACGCCCTGTATGGTAGCTGTGGAACAAAGATGTCATCTCCTTACTGCTGGGATATTCACTTGTTATGCATAAGCAGCATTCTCCATTCCATTCACTTCAGGCTGTTGCTGTTTCCAGCTGAATTGTTTCATAAGCACAGATTTAGAGAACTTTAAAACGTTGAGGTATTGCTTAAGCTTCATGCAGATGCAACTGATATTTTACTATAATATGCCCCAAATTGCCTTTCTTAAGTTCCAAGTAAGAATTAAACTACATGGCAGCCCTGGAAGACCACACTATCAGCACATCTGTTACCTGAGGCAGCAGTTATCTCAGTACATCACGTACCTCACAACTGTGCCTACTGCATAATATTTGACATTTCCAAACATTCCTAAAGTAGCAGATGCAAACAAATTAAAAAGACGAAGTACTGACAGAGAGGCTTTGCTGTAGCGAGAAGAGAGATGGAAATCGGCACGGCGCTCTGCTTTCGGGACAAAACAGACGGGACAAGCGGGGCAGAACTCATCTGTTATGGCTGACAGACTGCCGGGAGCCGAGCGCGGCCAGGAGAGCCCGCAGCAGCCGAGGGGAGCGCGTCGAGCGGCGGCGCTGCGCTGCGCCGGGCGGGGAGCCCCGCTAGGTGTCAGTGCAGCCCCGGCTAGGGCGGACGGAGCGGCTGCAGCGGCCCGGGCCGCTCCGTGCCGGCGCTGAGCCGCGCTGAGCCGGGTGCTGCCCGAGCGCACCGCCCGCAGCCACCGAGCCGCAGCCACTTGCGGCGCGGCGGGCCGAAGCCGGCCGTGCTCCCGGAGCTTGCCTTGCCCTGCCCCCCGAGCGGGGGCCGGTGGGCTCTGTGGTTCCTTCGGCACCCGGTTGCTAAAAGTGAGCAGCTGCAACGGCTCGTTGGAAACAACTTGCAACAGGTTATCGGAAATAGCCCCGCGCTGCTCTGGCTCACCCAAGTTC